GCCGCACCGCTCCCCAAGCATAAGTAACGAAGTTCAGGAACGTAGCCCCGAAAGGACGGAAACATCCATAAGCGCTCAGCCCGTTGCAAATGGCAGCCATTCCATGCTCTCTCACCCCAAAGTGGATGTAGCGCTCAGCGTAGGAGCCGACCTTGAACGGGGTCTCGCCCTTTAGCCGTGTCTCGTTTGACGTCGTTAGGTCCGCACTACCACCGATCTGCGAGCAAAAGCCAGAAGGCACAGGGGAAGATGCGACAGATCACGATACATACATGTGCTTACGGCGGCCCACGAAGCGAAGGCGCGACGGAGAAGCTGCATCAGGCGGGCCACACCGCCGTCTTCACCAAAAAGCGAACAAGTCATACAGACAAACGCCTGGTTGCTGTTTTTTAGCGTTAAAAACTTGCAACCGACCACCTACAAGCTCTGGCATGAAGTCCTTAATCGCATTAAGCGCCTTCCCCGAGAGAACTCGTGTAGAGGCTGGGGTGCCTGCCGCTGCCTTTGCCATATCATGCAAAGCGGCCTCCACTTTCTCGTTTATTTCTCTGCCGAACATTCTCTCTATTTCTCGCTTTTCATCAGGATAACTCTCCCNTCCACTTTCTCGTTTATTTCTCTGCCGAACATTCTCTCTATTTCTCGCTTTTCATCAGGATAACTCTCCCCATATTTGGTGAAGAGAGACTGCCACGCTTCGTATTCAGCTTTGTTGCGGGCGGCAACATCGGCATAGAACTGAATTACATAGAAACACCTAACAGTGGTACAACTATACTATATATGGTGCTGAAAATATCAGCGCCTGTATTACGAGAAAGTGCAACAGCTGACTTGCTGTAAACGGTGGGAGCCCCCGAAGCCTACACCACCCCTTTTAGCTTCTCCCTACCTTCCTTGTTTCTTCTGGTACTTGAAAGCTCTCGTCTGGATTAAGACCCAGCTTCACCTTGAGCTGCTTGATATCGTCGGCACTCAAAGGGGCTCCATGCACCTTCTCAGTCCCTTCGTTCTGACTCCCCCATCCAATTGTTGTTTTTATTTCGATGAGAGAAGGCTTGTCCGTTACAGCCTTCGCCTTTTTGATGGCCTAAGCACAAAGCAAGCGCAGACCGCACTTCGGGCATCTGGTGACGAGTTAATTACCAACGGCCAGACCTGTCGTGGTGGAATGAGAAGTCGGCTTCAATGTACAAGCAAGAGATGAACAGAAGTTCAAACCAAATTAACTCTCCGCTGCTACCTCCTTGCGTCTCTTCTTCCTTGCCACGCTCTGTCTAGCAGAGAATAAGTCACTAACAACACTCAGGGCTCTGCTCTCTGGATTCCTCTCTAACCCTCTAAATTTACTCCTGCCTTGCCCCACCTGTAGGATGGCGCTAAGATCTTTATCTCCGTCCTTGACGGTCTGCGTGTGCCATCCATATGCGTTGAACCTCTGGATAACATTCTCCGTGAAACTCAGCGATGTGTCACCATCTATCGTCACATTGTTGGAATCGTACAAAACAATCAAACGGCCCAAACCCAAGTGGCCGGCCAATGAGCAGGCCTCGCTGGAAACACCTATGTAGGAAGCACAAAACACTAGGCGTAAAATACTCCAATGTCATCGCTGAACACACTAACTTGCATTTACTGTCCCACTGGCTACGCTAAATTGCTCTGCAATGCACCAGGACAACAGCCCAAGGCAAAAACCTAAATGCCCAACACAGGAGGAACAATTCCATATCTCATAGCTCGTCTGACCTTCTTGTAAGCATCCGTCGCCGCAGATGCAGTAGATGAAGTTATTGAATATACAGAAATTCGGCTTGTTATACTTCGCAGCGAGATGATGAGCGCCAATTGCCAAGCCTACGCAGTTGGAAATGCCCTGGCCGAGAGGCCCTGAAAGCA